ACTATATAGACCAGGCTAGCTTTGAATTCGCAGAGATCTACCTGCCTCTACCTCCCCAATGTTGGGATTAAAGGCGTGTACTACCATGCCTGGCTATTTTAAAAATATTTTATTTATTATTATTTTATCTGTATGAGTGTATTGCCTGCATGTATGTAAATGCACCTGTGTCCTGCAATGCCCACAGAGGTTAGAAAATGGTGTCAGATTCTCCTGAAACTAGAGTTATAGATGGTTGTTAGCTGTCATGTGGGTGCTAGGAATTGAACCTGGGTCCTCTGCAAGAGCAGCCAGTGCTCTTAACCTCTGAGCCATCTCTCCAGCCCCTCTACTTTATAGTTTGAGATAGGGTCTCTCACAGAACTTGGAACTTAATGATTCAGCTAGACTAACCAGTCAGAGAGTGCCAGGAATCCTTCTGTCCGGGCATCCCCAGTACTGGGTTCACAGGTGTGGACCACCATACACTGCTTTTTAGGTAGGTGCAAGGGATGGAACTCAAGTCCTCATGATTGCATGGCAAGCATTTTACTAATTGAGCTATCTCCTCAGCCTCACAGACAACTTCTATGTGTAGAGTTGTTGGCCACGCTATGTGTGGGAGCATGTGTGTTTTCTTTTTTTGGTCTTTTTTGAGACAGTGTCTCTTGGTAGCCCTGGAACTCACTATATAGACCAGGCTGGACTTGAACTCACAGAGATCTGCCTGCTTCTGCCTCCCAGGTGCTGGGATTAAAGGCATGTACCACCAAACCTGGTTTATGTGTGTTTTCTTTACATGCCTTGTATAATTTAAAAATTTTTTATTTTAGCTAGGCGTGGTGGCACATGCCTGTAGTCCCAGCACTTGGGAGGCAGAGGCAGGTGGATCTCTGTGAGTTCGAGGCCAGCCTGATCTACATAGTGAGTTCCAGGACAGCTGGGGCTACAGGGAGACCCTGTCTCAAAAAAAAAAAATTTTTTTTCAAGTGTATAAGTATTTTGCCTGCATGTATGTAAGTGTACCATGTGTATGCAATGCCCAGGGAGACCAGAAGAGGGCATTGAATACCCTGGAACTGGAGTTACAGATAGTTGTTAGCTACCAAGTAGATGCTGGGAACTAAACCCAGGTTCTCTGCAAGAGTAGCCAGTGCTCTTAACCATTTAGCTGTCTTTGCAACCTGCCTTGCATAATTTTTTTTGTTCTAAAACAGTGATTAATTGATTGATTGATTGGCTGATTTAGTGGCCATGCTCAGATGAAACCCAGGGCCTTGACTTGTATGTGGCAGGCAAGCCTCTAACACTGAGCTATAGCCTGTGAAGAATGCACAGCAATGGTCACTGTTCATTAGCCAGTCACTTCCCCGAGGGTAGTGGGAAGTCTGGGTATGGCTGTGTTGCTCTGAGGGTCTGCATAGTGGTCAGTGGAACTGGACACACATTTCTTGTTTTCTGGGTGGTGGGGTGGAGTCTGGGGCTCTGCCTTATTCTCATCCTGTCTGCTGGGCCTACAGAGTGGCCCTGTGGGTACTCTGGGACTGCCTGGCTCCTCCGAGTCTCTGAAGCATAGGCCTTGGCTGCTGCCCATGCCCAGAGGAATTGAACCTGGGTCATGTCTTTGTTAAGGAAGATGATGGCCAGCACCTTGGGCCACCAGTGCTCCTAGCAGTGGCCATGCCTGCAGTAGGGTTGTATCTGCTTCCCCTGATCTGATCTGCTGAGTCCTCTCCAGGGGCAGGAAGTGGTTTGGAGGTGATGAGATGGTTTGGCAGTGCTCCTAGCAGTGGCCATGCCTGCAGTAGGGTTGTATCTGCTTCCCCTGATCTGATCTGCTGAGTCCTCTCCAGGGGCAGGAAGTGGTTTGGAGGTGATGAGGGGAGAGCCACGAGGTATGTTGCCAGCTCCATGGCTCCTGGGCCTCCTGACAGAGTATATGGGAGTCTTCTATTAAAGATTTACTTGGTGGTGGGACTGGAGAGCTGGCTTAGTGGTTAAAGTTACCTGCTGCTCTTGAAGAGGACCAGGTTCAGTTCCCAACACCCACGGGACTGCTCACAACTGCCTGTTATCATCAGCTCCAGGGGTTCTGTCGCCCCCTTCTGGCTTCCACAGGCATTGTATACATGTGGTGCCGGCAAAACATTTATATACATAAAATAATAAATAAATTGCCAGGCCTGGTGTTGCACACCTTTAATCTCAGCACTTGAGAGGCAGAGACAGGAAGATCACTATGAGTTTGAGGCTAGCCTGGGCTACATTGTGAGTTCCAGGCCATCTGGGGCTATAGGGAGACCCTGTCTCACTCCCCCATCTTTAAACATCTTTATTGTTAATTTACAGTTTTACTTTTTTATTTTAAAATGTTTTGATTTATTTTTATTTTATGTGTATGAGTGTTTTGCCTGCATGTATATGCAGTACCAGTGGAGAAGAGGGCATCAGATCCCCTGGAGCTGGAGTTACAGACAGTTGTTAGCTGCTGTGTGGGCTCTGGGAACTGAAACTGGCTTCTCTGCAAGAGTGGCCAGTGCTCTTTTTTTTGAGACAGGGTCTTTCTGTAGCCCCAGCTGGCCTGGAACTCACTGTGTAGACCAGGTTGACCTTGAACTCACAGAGATCCACCAGCCTCTGCCTCCTGAGTGCTGGGATTAAAGGCATGTGCCCCACATGGCCAGCGCTCTTAACTGCTGAGTCTCTAAGCCCTATTTTATTTTTAATTATGTGTATGTATGTGTCTGTGAGTATAGTATCTGTGGAAGTCAGAAGAGGGCATCAGTTCGATCCCTTGAGCTGGAGTTATAGGTGGTTGTTAGCTATTTGACATGTATTCTGGGAATTGAACTGAGCCCCTCTGCAAAAGCAGCAGATGTTCTTCACTGTTGAGCCATCTTTCCAGCCCCCCTACCCTTACTTCAGGGCTGCAGTTTTCTGTGGCCTCCAGCTTCCCAAAGAGCTCCTGGCCCTGCACTGGCCAACCTGCTGACTTGTGCCCTCCCACCTAGGCTGTCTTTCTATTCCGGACACTCCTCCTTTGGCATGTACTGCATGCTGTTCCTGGCGGTGAGTGTCTACCTTCTTCATGGGGACCCTCTGTGATTCTTGCATTGGGCTGGTGGTTTTGGGGGTTGGTGCTCCTGGGCCTCACTGATGCCTCCGCAGCTGTATGTGCAGGCGAGGCTCCGCTGGAAGTGGGCACGGCTGCTGCGGCCCACGGTTCAGTTCTTCCTGGTGGCCTTTGCGCTCTACGTGGGCTATACCCGCGTGTCGGACCACAAGCACCACTGGAGTGATGTCCTCGTGGGCCTGCTGCAGGGAGCGCTGGTGGCCAGCCTTACGGTGAGCCCTGCCTGCCCTGTCCTGCAGGACCTACCCCGGCTGACCCCAGTGCTCCTCTATCCCCTTTCCTCAAAGCCTCCTCCATCTCCTCAGGGCCTACCTTGCCTCCTCCCTCTGGGTTCCCTACATCTCCTTTCTCCTGCTCTGTTCACTGTCCTCCCCTTCCCCAGGTCCGTTATGTCTCAGATTTCTTCAAATCCCGGCCGCCCATGCCCTGCCAGGAGGATGAGAAACCGGAGCGCAAGCCCAGCCTGTCGCTGACGCTGACCCTCGGTGAGGCCGACCGCAGCCACTATGGGTACCCAGTCTCCTCCTGATCCGGAAGCCAGAGGGCCGCCTGTGGGCCCTGTGTAGCCCCCTGATGCCTGGTCAGGTCGTACTGGCCCTGGAACTGCCTCACGATCCCCACTGACCACGGTGAATCAGGGTCTTGAGTGCTGTCCAACGCGAGTGTGAGCAGGGCATTCCTTATAGCTTGAGTGCCCGGAGGGCCATGTGCATAGCGTTTCTCAAAGATGCTAAGTGCAGGTTCACAGCCTGTCCCAGAGTCTCAGCCTTGCCCTGAGGAACTCTCACCCCCAAGGGTTTCCATGTAGGGCCAACCTAGGAATGGGTTAATCTGGCTTAGCATCCTTCCAGATAGCCCTATAGGTAATGGACCCTGTGTCTGCCCAGGGAAGTTGGCTTTGGCCTTGGGGAGACAGCTGGGCTTAGAGGCTACTCTACTCAGCTGGGTACCCTGGTCTGCTCTGAAGCTGAGGTTGGCTTGACACACATGGACTTGGATCAGAGTCCTGTTCCCTGCCGCATGGACGCTTCTTCCCCAGGGTGCCAGGCTGCCCACCATGCTTCATGAAGATCCACATGCTCAGTTCTGTTCAGGGGCAGGGACCTGCCCCACTCTGCCACATGGACTAAACACTTGGCTGGGCTTTGAAAGTGGGTCCTGGGACTGGCTTCCCCCCCTCAGTCTATTAGAACACTAAACGTTACTTTTTCAGTGGGAGGGTGAGCCATAAACTTTTTACCAAATGTCTGTGATGAGTGTTTAAATTTTTTATTTCATGTGCGTGAATATTTTGCCTGTGCGTATGTTAGTGCATCTAGGTTGTGCAGTCACTGCAGAGGCCAGGAGGCGTCAGATCCTCTGGAACTGGAATTAGAGTGGCTGTTAGCTGCCATGTAGGTGTTGCGACCTGAACCCCAGTCCTCTGCGAGAACAGCCAGTGCTCTTAACCACTGAGCTGTGTCTCCAGCCTCCCACCCCCAGTGTTGATGGTTTTTTTTTTTTTTTTTTTTGGTTTTTTTGAGACAGGGTCTCCCTGTAGCCCCAGCTGTCCTGGAACTCACTATGTAGACCAGGCTGGCCCCGAGCTCACAAAGATCTGCCTGCCTCTGCCTCCCAAGTGCTGGGATTAAAGGTGTGCGCCACCACGCCCGGCCCCAGTGTTGATTTTTAAGCTCACCTGACGAGATTGACCCTGTGCCTGCCTGCCTTCCTGCCCCAACCCCGAGGGGACCTACTCAGTCTTAAGAGAAATGGTCTGGGTGACCTGCGAATGGGCCAAAATGGAGAGGCCACATAGCTACTGTGACCTCCCCAGGTGCTGGGGCAGACACTGTCACCCTAGGTCCACCACCAAACACAGGAGATACTGTGTGGACAGTGTTAGACAGACCCAGGGAAGCATCCAGGAAGCTCCCAGGCTTGTGGGCCAGTCTCTGCAGTAGGAGGGGCAATGAGCCGAACTGCATCTCAGGTCAAAGTGTGTGTGTCTATGTGTCTTTCTGCACAGGGGCATGCTCCCTGCAAACTCCTCATGTCAGGGCACAGGTAGCGGCAGTCGGGAGCACCCCTACACCCCCATGTCTCCGTCTCTTCTCTAGAGGCTGGGTCAGAATTGGGTCACCAGTACACCAAAGGCCATCACCAGACACTGAAAGCAAGAGGCCTGTGGGGCTCAGCAGCACCCTCAGTTCACCGTGGAGAGCATCTTCAGTTCTCTCCAGGAAGCAGGCTGGCTTCCCTCTACACCTGGGAACTGAGTCTCTAGTGGCTAACAGCCTGGGTTCCATTTTTTTTCCTAGGGACCCTGCTGGTTAAGGGCCTGCCTGTCAGCACCGTCCTGTGTTTTGTACACCGTGCTCCCATATGGACTAGCTGGTCCCTTACAGGCAGAAGGCCCCAGTGAGAAAGTGGATTGTGTTCAGAGTGAAACACGTCCTCACTTCAGGTCCTCTGCTTGGCCAGACGGCAGCCACACTCCTGAGTCTCCTGTGGGCTGCCTGTCAGACCCAGAGCTTCGTGCCTGCAGAGAACTCAGTTTAGCAGACTGCAGGTATGGATGCACACCTGTGACACTAGCAGTGGGGAGGCTGAGAGGCAGGAGGATGGCGAGTGTGAAACCAGCTTGGGGCTAGAGTGAGACTCTTGTGTATGTGTGCATGTATGTAGAGATCAGAGGACAACCTTGGGTGTCATTCCTCTGTCGCATCCACCTGTGGTTGAAACAGGTTCTTTCATTGGTCTGAAACTTCACCATGTAAGTAAGGCCAGACTAGCTGGAGTGGGGCATCCTGGAATCCTCCTGTCCCTGCCTCCCATTTTCCCATGGCATCATTGTCCTGGCTTGTGTTGTTTCTTCATGCTTTTGAGTTTTGAGGCAATTGCTTTACTGACACACATCTCCCAAGGCCCCAGATACTCTTTTTTTTTTTTTTTTTTTTTTTTTTTTTTTTTGGATTTTTAAGCTTTGGGTCATTTCCTTGCATACTCCAAAATTATATATATATT